ACAGTTGAGCTTAAATTTAGTCAATTAACCTGTCAGATGCTTACAAAGTGACGACATCATCATCTGGGCTTTCCCAACATCTCTTTACACTTTAAATTGAAAGATAAACTCATATTATTATGTCATTCAGAAAATATAAAAAACTGTTAATCCTAAATGACTCAAAGCAGAAAAGGTTTTAGTCTGATTTAATATCAAACATTGAGGAAAATCATATGTTTTTTCCATCGATGTTAATATCTGGTTTCAGCTGCGTATCATAGATCCAGAACTGGAACTACTAGTGAAAATCCATCATATATTATGGAGCAAAAAAAAAAAGAAAACATTTTTAAGATATTAGATATAAATTTTAATGTCAAAAGAGGAAGTAGAATTGAGACATGAACCTATCCACCCTTTCTTGATGGAGGTGGGATGTGTAGGCAGGAGCTGGCGCTGGTGTCACTGCTCTGTGCTGTTTGTGGCTGTGGAGGAGGAGGAGGAGTTGGAGGGACGGGATTCAGAGTCCTGCGGTGGGAGGTTTAGTGCACCGAGTGGGCAGCAGCTCCAGCATCTGCTCCCTCTTAGCGGCAACCACACTGTGTGTTATTGTTCCCGACAGAGACCAAAAAAGTCACGGGGGGAGGCTGAGACGGGTGGAGGAGGAAAGGAGGAAGAACAGATAGCGGAGAATGACACATGAGCTACAAGAAGTTAAAAAATAAAGACGGAGAGAGAGATGTGTAAGTCTGATCAAGTCGGGTTTTGAAAGCTGGAGACTGAGGCGGCGTGTGAAGGCATGTGTCACCCCAATGGGAGGGAAGGGAGACCTGATGAGGGGGGAAGCCTCATAAAAGCATCATTAGGGAGTCGGTTGTACCTCCAGGCATACTCGTCCAGTGACTCACATCTACGGGTTGTTGGGGAGGAGGAAGAGTTCACGGCCACAAGATGGGTGTTTGGGATGAACACAAGGTGAGAAACTGATAAATAAAACAGTCCATCACACTATTTTTTTATCTTTCAGTCGGGTGTAAAACTTTATCCACAATACAATGTTTTAATAAAGACTCCAAATATTACAAAATAAACGACTGACTAAATCCAGGGTGTCCAACTCAGAATGAGTTGGCATTTTTCATATTTGACAGCTATTAATAAATTGAAAACCCTGGAGGTGAGAGAGTAAACCTCAGAAAGTACTGAGCTGCAGCCCTGAATACAGCAGAAATGTCCTTTATTCTCCCTCAGTAGGGAAACTCAGGTGTACCAGGAGCATGTATGTTCACGTAAATATAAAAGAGACTGTGAGGCTAAATTTACAACAGAAGAAAATGCCATAGTTATTACTCAATACGCTCAGATTCAAAGAACTGGGCAACAGAGTAGGATCAGTTAAAAATGTGCAGACTGTGAATGCATATCTGTATAGAAATCAACGAAAGAAATGGACAAACTATGGAAAACGGCAAGAATGCAAACATATAAAATCTTACTGCTGCTGTGAAGAAGGACCTGCGATAACGCTCCTTTGTGCCCCCAGGACGGCGCAATCTGCACGCATGGAATGGTAACATTGTCTAAGATTTTATTAAGATGTTAGTGAATTTTGTTTCTTCAGGAATTGACTTCTTCAGGAAACCCTGGAGAAGATCCAGAATTCGCTTGAGGGACAAGATATCCCATATTTTTGTTTTAACTTTAATATAAATGGAGCCAAAAACACCCAAGAACTTTTACCCAAAGGGAGACAGACACATTAATCCATTCAGTCAACTTGTCTCAACACAGTAAGTGTTTTTGAAGAAAGGTTGACTCATAGAATGAAAAACTTTTTCCATCCTTGCAAACTTGGATGGGGAGTTGGTGTCCATCTCCACAGATAACCAAACAAAACAATCAACCCAAGCAAAACAGGACGTTTTTTTTTACTAGCACATCTTCTTTCATCTGAAATACTTTGTTTCTTTCATTAATGTTTTTTGTTTAGTTGGTCATTAAGCTGCTGAAAGTAATTGATGTTGCAATAAAATTAGTTCTGAGTGATTAGCTTTCAGCTGGAGGATTTTGGACTGGTTCTGTCTAGAAGCTGTTGCAAAATGACATCACCTCTGGCAGCTTTCAAACTAAATGAGCTGAGAATCTGAAGGGGGCGATGAAATAAGAGAATAAATTGCTGTTTTTAATCAACAGTAAACAGAAACTTTCTGTTAATATTTACAGAACGGAAACGTTTCTGCAGCCAAAATACTGAACTGCTGATTTCTGATGCCCTCGTACACAATGTGTTGATCCACAAATGTATCCATTATAATACTGACTTTCACTATTTTATTTTGAACATATATGGATGTAATATTATATATTTTCATCTGTAACTGTTAAAATTTTGACAAATACTAAAATATCTAGTATCTACCAGTAGGTGGTGACACTGTTGGCATTTGAATGTTGTATATGTGTAAGAAACCTTAGAAACAGCTGCACTGGTGGGATTTCTAGCACAGACAGTAAAGTTGGGATGGCGTGACGTCTGCTGCAACATCATGTTTCTGAAAACTGTTAATCAAGTCAGGATTCAGATCGGTGCCGCTCATTTTACCCTTTCACCATGTTGTGTTTGCGTACTTTCAGTTATGTTGTTCTAAATTTTTAAAAGGAACTATCAACCATCCATCACAGGACAAACCACCATGGGTGCACACACTCCCACAGTCATTTTTGTGGACTGTGGGAAGAAGCTGGAGTACCCAGAGAGAAACCACGCATCCAGAAAGACCCCAAGCTGGGATTTGAACCCGAACCTTCTTGTTCCAAGAGATGAGGTCAGATAGAGCTGTTCTGGTTTGATCAACGGGACATGAGCTGCATTGTTTTGTCTTAATTCATTTGTAAGTTGCTAAAAGCATCTGCTAGCTGTGTAAACATAAACATGATCTCAATAAGCATCAACTGGCCTAAATGAGATCAGCACCAAACAATCTGAGGAGGGCTGCAGTTGTTGGCAGTCGACATGTTTCCATTACAAATGTGTGCAAAACTTTGTCAATATTTTGCTGATGTCCAACAAACACAATTTTGCAGTTTCGATGTTTTCATGAAATAAGAAACGCGACTAAAATCACACGAGAATAAGTTTGTTCTTGTGATAACTCAGTAAAAGTTATAACGGCGTTTGTCGTCTTGTTCTTCATGGTTTGCGCCAGTAGCAACATCTGCTTGTTGATCATGTGACTTGTGTGATGTGAAGAAGTGTTTCCATTGCTCATCCTGCACCAAAGGTTTTTTTCAAGACTGGCATGCTTCCATTAAGAGAAGTTCTCTAAACAGCCCTTAGCTGTGGGTGTGCAAGTAGTTTCTCAATTTTCTGATTCTTCTGTTTAGTATTGAGCAAACAACTTATGTGTAATTGAGATACTTTTTGTAATAGAGCTTCTCTGAAGGTTAAATTCTAAATATGCCTTCATTTGAACCTTTTAGGCTGTTCTACCCGTCTGTCAGCGGGGTTAGACGGGTTGTCTGCCATTTGGCTGAACTCCTAACTAAATTATCTATTAACAGTCATTCCCACCTTTGGCCAGTTGTGTTTGTCCTTTTGGGATTTCTCACACATATCTGACATGTTGGTAACATGTTACTGTGCACGAGTATGAGGAATGTGGGAATGGTTTTGGCTGCGGTGATTTGCTGACAGCCGTCTGTGTACACAGGGCCGATGATAGAACGAGAATTATAAAGATATAAAAATGTCTGAGCGAGGGATACGGAGAGGATTTTAGCTTACACCTGTGAGTTCAGAAGTTCATCTGCGGATTGTGCTGAAACTGTGCAACTGGCTCTGAATGCCGTGCAACCCTGTGCTCAGAGTTTCACAGATATACAGATACAGAAGTGGAGTTAATTAGCAGCAGCTGATGGAGCCTCGTGCTGCTGAAACCTCATCCAGCGCTAGCTAACACAAACAGTCTTCTCCTCAACCGGTTTTAGAAAGTGCAGTTATCTTTTCTCACTGAAGAAGCAGAATAATAAAATGCTTTTGTAAAACATCAGCTGCAGAAAATGTTTTTATATAAATCAACTGTCATTTTGTCAAATCTTTGACCGGAAAGATGAATTTGGAATGACCTTTGACCCCTTTCCTGAACCTCAATGTATTCCACTGAAACTGCATGTGATATATCAACACAAGGTAGCAGATAATTACAAAGAGAAATCAAAATGATGCAATAAAAAATACATTCAAGTAAAAATCTGAAAGGTGTGGCATGCATTTGTATTCAGCCCCTCTGATGTCCCTAAATAAAATCCACACATAAGGAAGAAGGTGCTGCAATAAGAGACCAAAATTTAACTCTTTGGCCAAAAAGATGTTCTGCAGAAAGTAATGCACCTTCCCTATGGTGGGACATGGTGGCAGCAGCATCATGCTGTGGAGATGCAAACTAAAAAACTGCATAGCACTCAAGCCTGGAGCAGACGTTTTCCTTCCATTAGGACAAGAAAATAAAAATAAAACCAAAGCTACGATGGCAAGGTTTAAATCGAAGCATTTTGAGTTAAAATGGCCTAGTCAAAGATCTAAATTTGTGTTGGTCTGCAGCATAAGATTGAAATAAAATGCATTAAAATTTGTGGTTATAACACGACAAAATGTGGAAAAGAGTTCAGGGTGAAAATAATGTTTAAAAATATCTGGATATGTGATTAGAAAAAATGTAATTTCTTCCATTAATTAACGTCTCCCATGGTGGCGCACAGACACAGCGGATCGGAAATCCTTTTATGCTTTTATTTTATTAGTATGTTCAGATCACCTACATTTCTTTTATATTTGGTTAAATTCCTGCCACAATGATAATAAAGGAATTCTGATTAGTGATATTTGTTACTTCTAATTAACAGGAAAACAAAAAAAAAAAAAAAAAAAAAAAACTCCTGCTGTACATCCTGCGCACCCTGACCCGACTCGACATCCGACCAAACTTAAAAAGGAGATATTACAATAAAATAAGACTTACCATAAATCTGAGGGTCCTGGCATGAGCCTTTTCTTTCCACAGAAATATGGTTCAAAATCTTGTGTCTTGAGCCTGTGGGTGTAGTCTATATATCCAGATACCTCCTGTCCAAGAGTATTATAATCCCTTATGAAAATGACCGACTGTAAAAGAGGAGAGAAAAAAGAAAGGAGAGCCTCTGTGTAAATCATCATGACCATTAAACCTTTTTTCTGGGGAAAGACCAGTAAGGACAAATGTCGGGGTTTTTTGGACAGATGAAAGGCATCTGGCAGGAATAGACCAATCTTAAAATACAAAGGGTCTTGTTAAATTTTGACACATGTTGAGGATAAAAATGAGTCAAACTGATGTCGTCCTGGAGAAGCCTTAGAGAGGTGGGCCGTCTGCAGAGTATCCTGCTCAGATAAGAGCGTGGGACTCCTCGGGGCCCGAATCTTTTAACTTACAGTAACTGGAGTGTGATTTCCGTTCCAACACTCCCACAGTCGGAGCAGGAAAGGCTCTTTAAATGCCATGAAATGTGAAGTTTGGATATAAAAGTTCTCGTGCAAACACCGGACATCAACAGACCTTTTTATTCACGGGCGTCTCAAGTTGTCTGGTCATATTTGAATTGTGTTGAAGATGGGACATTGTTTAGCTTATTATATTCAAATTTAGCTTGAACAAACCGGTTAGCTCATTAATCCCTAACAGGTTTCATACACTACAGGGCTCTTTAGGTAGATTTAGTTGCCTGAACTTTTAAGAGCATGCATTGTTTTTAGGTGGAAGGCAAATTGCTATTCTAATTTTGTGTTTTTTAAATAATAGCAAACAAAAAAGCTGCATTTTAATGAAAAATAAAAGCATGTTTGAAAGAGATAATGACACTCCCATATTGTTCTCTTACAAACCTGCTGTAAGGCACAGCTAAATTGAACAGATCTGAACTGAACTTAAAGGTGACTGATGCTTCCTTGAACCAGTTAGGATGTCTGAACAAAACATGTTCATTCTGCACAAAATCATTATTGGGTGATGAGATTTTGGTCTGGTTAGTTCTGCCTGACTTCACATCTGTTCAAAATCCCAACTCAACGTTAACACTCACATGTGAAAACGGTGCAAACAGATGCACAATTATGCAACTATACACCTTTGAAAAGCATCAGTAGATCCTCCTGCGCAACCGACAAGAATACAGCAGATGGTTTCTGGATGGTAAATCAACAGCAGAGCACTTGTCTTTTCCAGCAGCCATTGTACAGCGCATACGCCGGTAAAACCAGCTGACCAAGATTTCTGGAGTTCCACTCGGGTTGCTAGGCAACGGCTCAGTGCCCTTTGATTGTGACTTAGTAATCAGCACGTTTTTGAAGCAGCTCATTTTCCACGTATCAAAAAATATTAACTTATTGCCATAATAAGTTAATATTATGGTGTTGAACTGAATCTGGAGAAATTCTAACTCTATAATTAATGTATTTCACCTGTTTTTTATAAAAATGACATTTGTTGTAATTTGAAAATGTATAAATATAGTGAATTGAAATTAAATGAGCTTAAGGCTGAACACACATCCTGTCTTTTCATGCATTTTGCAGTCGATCTTTTATTTTATGGAATATAAAAGATAAATATGACCCAAGATTGTGCTTGAGCTTTGCAGATAGTGCTGGTAACAGACCAAACACACAAATCAGATGTAGAGACAATGAGTGCAGCAGGGGAAATGGGTCTGGATTCTTCAATGTAAGCATATCCTCACTATAAAGACAAGTTTTCCAGCTGCTTATCGGTGAGAGCCTCTTCAAAGTTGCGTTTAAACAACCAGTGGAAGATAAAGATGAGAAATGACTTTATCACTGGATTCAGACAAAGACATCTGGAGCCAAGTAGTTCAAAACCAACCTGGGTAAAAGCAGAACATGAATCGATCTTTTTATGTTGACTTGATAGTACAGATAACACCTGATGACAACGAACGGGAAGAACTCCCAACAAAAGACGGACTCAGGTGTGAAGAGGTTGTTTTGTCTGCCTGTTCCCACAAAGAAAATATGTTTTTCTTTCTTTTCTGACTCCTTTTGTGTTTGACATGTCTTGTTTGCTCTGAGCATGAGTAAGTCAAACTGTTCTGCTTACAGTAACACCTCCTTGCAGGATACCTCAGAGTACGGTATCCCATTTGTGTGCCTGTCAGGAGGTGGGCCCTCTGCAGGGCGGGGGCTGCAGAGCTCACAGGAAAAAACGCATCTTTCATGTTTCCATTAAGCAAATTTACTTTTGCAATAACAGTTTGCGCAGATATATAGTCAATGGAAATAAATGCACCTATAGGTAAACATATTAATAGGATTTTTTTCAGGCTACATACAGAGCTCAGTTAATTTCTTTCAAATATAAAGAGCTTAGAATAAACATATCACACTCCTATTTGCTGCTAAACAAGCACCATGAGTTTCCAGGCTGCTTGCTGAAGGAAGCCGGGGGACCTCCACTTTACACCATGGAAAACAAGCAGAGGCTTTACATCACCTGTCAACAATTATCAAGAACAGGTGCTGTGACCTCACAGGGCAGTGAGGGAGAGGCCCCGCTTTATGGCAAACATCAGTCTGGTTAATAGTCGAGACGCTGAGTGCTGCTCAGCCCCAGGTACAGATACTGGCTCATTGTTTTACTCTTTGAAATCCTCCTCATGTGTGTCCTTTAGAAACTTCACCGCTGACCTTAGGTAGAAGGTTACATAAACTAATAAGCAGTCTGGGAGAATCCTTTAATCTACAATTCAATGCAACAAAAGCATTTCAACGCCCTGCGGCCACTGCTCTCTTATGAAGACTCAAAAAATATGTTTGTTCGTTCAGAGACAAACTGTTAAACTGAACCCAGCTGACACTAACCGAGCTTCGATGAATAACCCTCCGCCTCTTTCTGCTCAGATGTGAGTTACTCCAATCCTTCAAAGCCTCATGGCTGAAAAAGATGGATTTACAAATCTGATTCAAACAGAAGCTGACGGGGGGCTGAGACGTAGTGCGCCCATCTTTGTGCTTTTGACAATGTCCTACAGGTGGGAAGTCAATGATGGCTGGACCACCTGACATCCTGTGGCATGTGTGTGTGTGTGACTGTACACACACACAGAAACCTAAACAAAGCTAGCAAGCCACAGGATGGGGTAGTGGACTCTGGCGCAGAAACACTCAGCTGTCGGTAACGTCTGTGGATGTCTGTCGCCTTTGTTTTCTCAGAGTCCTGTTGACGTTTTTTCAGCCGATGCGCTCGTCCTTTCAGCATGCTGAGTGCAGCCGATTCAACGTGTTGGAAGGACATTGGGGCTCAGAGAGCGAGATCGTTCTGCAGCTAAACTGCTCTTAATGCACAAACCCAACAGAATTGTGTCTTTTTTTAATCAGATGATTCATTCACTTGATTTTTCATTTTTATTGTGAACTGTAAAGTGCATTAATCTTATCTGAAAATCAATAATAAGGAATGTATTGATAAAGCCTAATTCTGGCATTTGGATCAATTCTCAGGATCAGAGCTAAATCTAAAATACTTCAAGGACGGCAGTTTTACCTTTATTAAGATTAGAAAAGACGTGATTTATTAATCCCAGAATTGGAAAATTATCTCAATTTGTCTTTACGTTTGAAAGCACCTACAGTAAATTATAAAAAGGTTTGCTACTTGTCTCTGATTTCTCTCTCTGCTCTTCTTCCTGTCCATCTTCTGTTGAATACAGGCCACCTGTGTCACAAATACCTTAAAAAATCCGTCTTGATGCCACATTTTTAAGCCCAACATTTGTCCAGGATTGGCTAATGCCCTTTCTACTTAATACAGATAGAGAATATGCCCTGCTTTTATTATTAGATCTGATTGATGGCATTTCAAAAACACTGGAAAGAAGCTAATATATATGCTGCTGAATGGTTACATGTGTAATTTTTAAACTGTCTTCATAGCAGCAACACTGATGACTTTTTCTTTGTTCATTTGAACCAGCTGGTTAACTAGCACAGACTTGATTTCCAGGATAGTTTATAACATTTCAAAAGGCCATTTCAAGGTCCTCATGTTAGTTTTCTTTATCAACTCCTTTGGGTTGATAAAGTGTCTCTGTCCTTTAGAAACAGACAGTTCTCTTCTGTTTTCTTGACATTTTTCAATCTTTAACAAAACACTAATTATTTGACTCCAGCTCTATAAGGTGTTTTATTAAAGGTGTTGATCAATCAATCAATCAAATTTTATTTGTATAGCACATTTCAGCAGCAAGGCATT